CTCTAGAGGTATCCATCAGGTCCACTTAAGTAATCTACTTAGGGGGTTGTGATATCGTCTTTGCACATTTGTGAGCTTCTTTTTCTTTTACGCGAGCTAGAAAGCACGTGTTTTTCCAAGCTTCCATTTGAGTAGGACATGTAGAGGAACATTTGGTATCTGGGCTGTATTGTGCTGTAGTAAAAGGTAGGTAGAGAGGTAGAGAGCCTTCATAACTAGAAGATCTAACAATACACTATGAGGTGGAGACAACCTGGTAAACTTCAGAGTTGTCTAGGCTAACCAAAATTTGTTTCTATAGACAGAAATAGTCTAAGAAGGCTTGAGTTCACACGTTTCGTTTATGACTACTAAGAGTAAAGTAAAAATAGGTAAAATAGAATTGAATCGTAAAGACTAATTTATATTTATAATGTCTCTTCTCCATTGCTTGATGATAGCTAAAGCTTGGAAGGCACTTTGATATTTATATTCTGCGTCTGAGTATGCATAGACTACATCTTTTAATTATACAACTATGTACCTCTCTGCCTATAACTCACAATGTCTGGTATCCTTAAAAGGTACAAACACCTGGAGACCCTTAAAATCACCTCACCCTCTTGTGCAATTACAATCTAACTAACTAGGAACTATACTATTCCCAATAGTAGTTATGCAATCATTAGTGTCTTTAGACTTATAGCCTAGTTCTCAAGTCGAACTGAGTTGGCCCCAGTTGTCTCCATCATTGATGAAATTATCAGCTTGATCTGTGGGTTGCATTAGTGAAGATAGTTGTAATTGTAACCTTTCTAGGTTGCCTGACTCCAAACCTCCATAACTCCTTAACCAACTGATAGATATCTTCCGTAGGACTTCCTACTAATTTACAGAAGGTTATTCTACCGGATTGACAGATAATCCATTGGTCGGCAACCCTTGAGTGCTCTGGTTAACTCTGCAACGTAGTGTATGAAACCATCTCAGGTCACAAACCTTGAAGCTCAATATCTCCTGTTCCAACCTATAGATTCTGATCCAGTAACTTTCCTCATGTAGATGAGAGGCTCTTCCACAAGACCGAATTACAACCCTTCGGTCGTGGATCCTCAGATGCCATGTGGGGAGCCCTGCAGATGGAAGTGGCATTGGTAGAAAATGACTCAATACCAGATATAACTTTGACAACAACAGGAGTTGAACACATAATCTTCAGAAATATGCCATGTGATAGTTCTATTGAGCTGCAGCTAAGATTTATATGTATGATGATATAGGTGTCCTGTAAGGAGACTAGAGGTAGACATTGAAGACAAGGGATTTCAATTCCAAGTAGGATTACCCTACTTGGGGTGATTCCTAGGTATCAGATTCTGGTATTCGTAACAATATTATAGTTTGCTCAAATGTTAGAAGAAACATCATGAAGAATTGTGTGTGGACAAAATTAACTGAGATTCACCGGAGGAAAATCTTCAGTGATAACAACCATACTCATCCACCAATCTACTATCACGAAAACCAAACAAAAAACATTACGAGATATAAATACATAGTAGAAATTAATATTTGGTATACCATCCATTAGCCTTAATAATTGCCTCTATTCTGTCCACTATTGATCCAGCTAAAGTACCAAAAACCTTTAGATCAAGAAGTTCCCAACAATGAGTGATAGGCTCTACTATTGCCTTCTTGACCAGATTGATTTCACCCTTCATAAGATATACCTCAGGTAGTGCTTGTAAAGCTTGTCTTTCACTAGAGACCAAATCTTTTCAATGGGATTGAGATCTGGTCAATAGGCAGGAATTTCTATCAGTGTAATTCCCAGTCCTCTGAGCTATCTCCTAAATGGCAAGTGAGTCTTAGCATTGTCAATGATAAAAATTACCTCTTGTTCTTCAGCCTGTTCTCTGATATTCTCCCATATCCCTAGAAAGTCATAATGATCATAAATATGAATAATTGACTTCCCGGTAACTCTACTCCTAGTAGAAGAAGAATCAGGAAAACAGGCAAAAAAAGACAATTAGTTTGACTATAAAAACAACCAGTCATTATCTGGCTAATCCCTCTCTCCCCTCTCCTAGCCTTAGGTTCAACACAATCCTTATTCTATTTCTCATATTGGTATTTGAAAACACATTTTCTCCTCTTCCCTCCTCTTCTTTCCACAGCTACCTCATTCTTCCACATTGCCTTCTTTCTCCACATCTCCTTTCTCTAATACCTATATGCTAATGCTCATTCCAACCTCTCTTGAACTTGATCCTCATCCAAATGAACTCTCTCTTATACTATCCTCTTTTTAACATGTTTTTTTTCACAACTTCTCCTTACTGTCCTACTAGAAACATTAAGAACTACTTGTTCAGCAATGTCAGAATAAGTAGTATGGCGATTTTTAAGAGCTTCCTCCACCATAGCATTATCCTGTGACTTGGTAGTTTTAGGATGACTTTCTCTATCATTATTCTCCTTGCCCTCTTGATATCTCGTTGCTATTGTGTCTCTGACAGTAGTGTAGGAGATATTAAGCTAGTGGAAAATTTGCTGATATTTCATCTGAGGCTCATATAACCTGAGAATCCTCCCCCTGGTAAATTCAAAAAAATGTGTGGAGTGAATAGGTTTTTTGGTATGATTACGAAGAATAGGAGGCATAGTTTATTGAAAAAAAAGAATTAAGCAGAATGGTTTCTTCTTGGTTCACCTAGAGTAACTTATTTTAGGTACTGTTGAGAGTACCGGTTGATAAAGAGATGTGGGTTGCTACCAATTGTTGAATCATGGTTAATTTTGTCAACGTATAATATCACTTGTTACTCACAAATATTCAGTGATAAATCTCTCTTGATATAGCTTCAAATTTAGAGATTTGTCCAGCTGCTGGAATAAAAGCAGCAGGTATAGAAGACCCAGTCCTCATAGAGGTTCCTATATCTGATAATTCTTCTTCGTATCAGATTTATTACCTGTAAACTGCGTGATTTTGTTCTGTTTTTTGCCCCTTCATGCTTCTCGGCATGGGGTGAATACATCTGTCTACCCGTAATCTCTAAATACTAAGAGTAAATTAAGATCACATTGGAGGTTTTCCTTTACCCCTCATTTCTGGTCACAACAACAACCATGTTCAACCACTATAAATAATCACAAATCCCTGGCAGAACAACCTCAATATGGATAATTGGGAGGAAATGATTACCTTTGCCCTTACTGCAATTGATAATAGCATCTTAGAGAGAAAAGCAGCAAGCAAGTATAGCATCCTATGATTAACTTTGCAAAGTCGCTGAGCTGGAAGGTCTACAGCACACTCTAGCCACTCTCACCAACATCTATTCCCAGACTAGGAAAAGTATTTTTGTTCCTGGATTTTGGAACAAGAAGTATGTGGCTATGCTCCATCACATTCTGATGTAAGAGAAATGGTAACCCTTATGCTCAACGTCTATGGAGACAACAGGCCTTTAGGCAAATGATGGGTTTCAACCTGTATGAAGAGAAATTCCAGTGTCAGATGTATTATTTGCAGGCCAATTGAAGCAGCTCAGATTAAAGTAACCTAGCCTGAAGATATCTGCGACCTTTACGCATGATTCAATACAATTCTGGCGAGGCACAATACCCAGCAAGCTAATATATAGTATATGGAGAAGCATGAGATTGCCTTTGATGTTTGTGCTAATTCTAAGGTGTTGGGAGCAAGTGGGAAGAACAAAACCTATATTCAGTGGCCTGAAAATAGAGAGTGGGTTTCTGTTATTGAGGAAATCAATGCCTATGGTCTTTGTTTTGCCCCTTAGTAATGTTCAAAGGGACAGATATGCAAACATGATGGTTTAGTATAGAGGAAATTCCCAACTGGCTTATTACTATGACATCGAAAGACTGGACTTCTAATAATATTGGACTACAGTAGCTAAAGAATATATTTCTACCAGAAACGGCACAGACTCTCCCTGATGAGCAAACTGTACATAGTATTCTACTATTAGATAGACATGGTAGTCATGCAACAATTGAATTCATGTGGCTCTGCAAGCAGAGCCAACTTGATATCTTATATCTTCCTGCCCACTCCAGTCATGTTTTGCAGTCCTTAGACCTTGGAACATTCTCACCACTAAAGTCACGCTACAGGAAGGAAATCGCTGACCTTGCTGACCTTGATGATGCTGCTCCAGTGGAGAAGCATTGCTTCATTCAAGCATATCAGAAAGCACGTGAGAAAACCTTTACCACTCACACCCTATGGGCTGGCTGGGCAGCAGCTGGTTTATTCCCTTGGAACCCAAGCCAAACTCTCAACTTTTCACAACTTCATTTATTAAAACCCGCCTACCCCCCAGGTTCCCCTGCTACACTTAAGTGGTCCAGGAAAATTCATGATTTTGATCTTCACAGGACACCCAAATACCCTCACCATATTCACCAATCAGAAAAGCTGCTTGGTCAGTTGACCTTGGATCAGCAGACGGTATTTTACAAGGTACAAAAAGCACTCGGTCAACTGACCACTGAGTAGGCTACTTTAAGTACAACCAGCCAATACCCAAAACTTCAGATCAATGAGTTGTAAAGTAAGAAAAAGAAGAAGAAGGTTGTTCCTGATCCCAATACTGTCTTTGCAAATGTGGAAAGCATAGAGCTCATTGGAGGAGGCAGAAAAAGAACTGGTAGTGGCTGAGACAGGGAAAGCTAAAATTGTAGAAAAAAAGGCTCTGGCAAAGGCAAAGCAGCCATCTGCAGCAGAGGAAGCATTAAATACCTCTAAAGCTTTACAAAAGCAGCAAATGGAAGCCTGTATGTTTGAATGGGAGTTGTAGATTAGAAATATTTTGTATTCAGCCATTGTGCCAAGGTGGCCGGAAACTAGGGGTGGCCGAAAACCCCCTACGCGATCTTAGAGGGCGGGGGGACTATCCCTTTTGTGGGACGTTTTTGTTTTTCATTTACAGGGGATAGTTTACTAGCAATACGCCATGATCTACTCTGTATCGTTTATTATCTCTTTCATGATATTAAGTATTTTCATCGGCTAATTCTGCTTTGGCGCTAGAGAATTTTCTACCTTTCGCTAGAGAGTTCACGATGAGCATATTCCACCGTTGTGGAAACCCATGATACCCAGATCTGCCAAAGGACTAGTTCCAAGGTTTAATATGGGTACGCAGGTCTATTGTCAACCTAGAGAAGTTTAAACACACTGGTCTAAAGCGCCGATTCTCTACCGCCGAAGCCCCAATAATCCCCAAAACATTGCATCCTTCTAAAAACCACCCTGAGGAGAGACCTAGTAGATATAAAAAAAGAGCACCGTTTATATAATAAACAGAGAAACAAAACGCCGAAACAAGAGCCACGGGGCTTATCACGAAACCCAAGCCGGACAGCGTGCTTCGGCAGTGGCCTGCTTTATAGATTAGGACTCAAAAGATCATACTTGACCAAATTTTCCACATCCTCCACAGAACTATTGATAAACTGTCTTGCCTCAAGGGCAATCCAAACTTTCAACAATCCCAAGTCGCTCTTTCCGCGCTTACCGAGCATCTGGGCTCCGCTGCCAGCCCCGATCGATCTCAGCATGGGTAAAGAACTGCATATATCAGCCAAGAGCTCGAAATATCTGCCTAAAACGGTGTACCTTTTAAGAAGATCTAGATTTGGATCCAGGCTGCGACCAATGCCCTCGAGGAGCAGGATCGATAGTACAACATTGATAAAATCTCCTTCCATTCGGACGTGATGAACTCTAACCATCTGCAAAACCTGGGTTAAGAGGTCACCAATTTTGATGTTTCCTAACGCGAGTGTTCGGCTCTTCACCGCAAGGATAAGGTGTTGCATCTTGAGGGTGAATATTTCATTGTCGATGACTGCTGAGGGTGAACGGCAACGTTCAATCATAAGATGCCCTACGCGATATCCGTCGAATTCAGCGATGGCGCGGAAAAGGTCCAGAAAATTACGACGGTTCACGGAGTTCAACTCTGTCACAAGCCCTGTGTCGATGAAGATAAGCTGTGGCCTGTAGCCTTCATTGTCCAGTAGATTTAATTCTTTTTGCCATTCCTGCGGGTTCCCACGATGAGGTATGAGTCTTGAAATGACTTCTTCTGTCACTTCCTTGTGATTATCGGCACCTCTGGCACTAGCCTTGCGGCCCGGAACGACTAATGGGAACTGTGACAAGGAAGGGAGTGGCTCGAGCTTGTAGAATCGGACCATTATGTTTCCAGGATGCAGATCTGCGTGGATAAAGTTGTCCATGATCAACATATGCTGGAGGCGGCCCAACCATTAGCGACTGGAATCCTAATGCGGGGAGCATACAGACCAGGAAAGCATCCAAGCCCATGTCTGCCATTTCTTTCCGAAATGGTCCAGCCCCAGATTCCAAAAAGAAACTGAGAGGGACTCCATGTGCAAACTCTTCTATTAAGACCTCTCGTGTGGTATAGTTGCTGTAGGGCAGAGGAAATGTGACTGTGGTCCTATCTCCAAAGTTTGATCGAAACCTGCTAAGGTTATTCGCCTCAATACGCAAATCCAGCTGTAATCTCATCATTTCACTAAATTTGTCCACTTCATCTGGGAGAGATAACCATTCAAGAGTTGGGACCAAATTGAGTAGCGATGCAAAAAAGTATATAATTCTGAGATCCCGGTGGACAGTACGGTCTACCTTGGGATGGAGCACCTTGACTGCTACGTACGAGGAGGGGACACCCTGATAGGGAGCTTTTTTTACGAGGACATCAACCTTCCGCCGGAGGTTTTTTTTAAAATCCGTTTCGCCAAGTTCGTGTAACCTTGGTAGCAGATGCGGGCTTAATTTAGCCCGATAGACTTGTGCAACGGCCCCGATTCCTAACGGCTTCTGATCGAACTCCTCAAATATTTCATCAAAATGCCTGCCACCAAAAGCCTGAGATATCGTCCTTTTTGTGTCTCGAAGGGAGTGGGCGCGGGCATCAGAATGTAACTTTGACATCATCTCGCACATCTCGGCAGGAAAAATGTCGGTTCTAGACGCTGCCCATTGCCCCAACTATCCAAGTTAGCTATCAAGACCTGGGGAGGGATCGTAAATTAATGAATCCAGGAGAAGGCCCACCTTAATAAAGGTAGGTCCAGCTCGCTCCATGGATTTGATCAAAAAGGAATACCACCAGATAGTGCCAATGCGTTCACTACACCGGTCTGGCTGCCGCGGGCCGATACAAGCCAGTGGTATCGAGAGGATAACAGGAAGGAAAATCACCACCAAATGCACAAACCGAAGCCCCGTAGCAATCGGTTCGATAACACATTTGATGGCAAGAAGCTGAGCCCTCTTGAGGATGCGAAGGATTAATGGCTGGCCTGATAAAGCTCTGCACGGCTCTAGGCGCTCCCGTTCAGATTCCTCAAGCATCAACTGCTCGGCGGTTTTCTCTGAACCAGTCGCCCCAGTTTCGAGTGTCAATGGGGGAGATAGACCCAGATGTAGTGCGAAGGCCAGCGAAGCCGAGCCAATCCAGAGAGTATAGTTGCGGTTGGGCCGTGGCCAGCGTATGGGTTGGTTAGGAAAGGGGTTTGAATAAGTGGTGAAGGGGGATCTGTAGGATGAGCGAGAAAGAGTATGACGTATTGTGAATATGGGTTTAGGGGGAGATCGAAGAAAGGGAATGGTTGACAACCGCCGACAAGACAGAGCCATGACCCCCATAATTAGTTGGGAATGAAAAAAGGGTTTTATAATAAAGAGCGAGACCAGGGTGAAATATAATGTGGTGGGGCCATGGGTACAGGACTCCAGTACAAGTACTCGTAGAAGCAAAATAAGGGAATATGTTACTGACGGTTAGATGGTGAAGTTGAACCGGGAAAAGGGTTGGTAATCAAGGTTCCCACGAGGCATAATAAAAAACTTGGAGCTTACCGTATATAATGGTACGCTAGTATCGAATAGGGTATGGTATTACAACGATCACATGTGAATACTCACCTGTAGGGTGTGCAACTACCGTATGATATCCTCCAGTATGATACTAGGGAAGTTCGAAGTTCTCAGTGCTCGCGCAGGGTCATTAAGGGCGGAAAACTTTGGGTGGCGAGACAAGGATCATGAGCGATGATCAAGGTGGGTGGGTGGAACGGAAGGAGGATGACAGGGTATCTTGAACCCGGGATTGTAGCACTGAGGGATCAACCATGATGGCGAGTTTCCGAACAAAATTGGGTCATTGGTGGAAGACTCTTTGAGTCTACTCTTTACTACTCACATTAAGAGTTTAAGGAAAGGTAATAAACAAAGAGTGAGGGTATGTGAATTCAATAAAGTAGAAATAGCAAATAAGTTAACTACTACAAATAAATGAAAATTATAAACAATTGTGAATTAAGAGGAATAAGTGACGGAAACAAGAATAGAAATAGAAAGAAAAATAAAAAACAAAGAACTCATTACAATCCTGTGATATTGACTGAATATCATGTTCTGAAGGTCCACACTCTTTGCTATTGAGGTAGTAAGGTTGATGTTTGATTGCAAGATCAAACATGAATGGAATAAGAGAGGCCTATTCTTGCAATCAATTCATACCAATATAGAACAAAAGCCAAATGAGAGAAGGGGTTAAAGGAAAAGCCAAAACAATGAAAAAAAAAAGAATGTTCCCCATTACTGGCAACCTACCTACTGTAGAAACTCAAATAAACAGACCATGTGCTATATAGTCAGGAACTTCCTCCTCTTGAGACTCGGAATTGGAAGAAGACACTAAAAAACACATTCCCGGAGGCGAAAAAAATTTAAAAACAGGTGAGACTTTACTAGAGGAGGCAAGGACAATGTCGAAGTACATGGTCCATTTATTCGAGCTATTATAATAGGCTAGCTGAGGTCAATACTTGTGCAATGACCCCAGCTACCTAGAAGACTGAAACCTAAAGAACTTGTCTCCTATAAACCATAATCAGGGTCCAAATAGTGAATTATTGCCGTAATACTAGGAGGTATGAGGTCCATGATTATGTAGGAGTTTGTTAACTTGCTGAGGGTGTGAAGAAGCTAAATTGAGAATCTTCGCGAGTGTAATACGATCCCACTCCTCTTGAATGGCAGTATAGAGGGCCGGGACAGTAGTTGGCCGAAGTTGTTGGTTTTGGATCTGATGCTTTAGCAGATGTCAGATATCTTTGATTGTACTCATCAGGAGAGCTGGGGGGCCATGGAAAAATTTAAGACCCGATCCTAAGTTCTTCGAGAACTTGTAGAACATGCTTTGACTTGTTGGCTGCTGCTCCATTCTCCTGAAAGTAGATATAGCCAGAGTTAGTGGTGCTGGCTTCATGAAAGAAGGTATACAAGGGAAAAAGATGAGGGTGAATAATTTGATTAATATAAGTGGACCGATTAATCTATCCCCAATTTGCCATATCCCAGATGACAACAGGGCCTTTAAGATCACAGTAAATGGCTACCCACACTATTATAGTTGTAAGTAGTGGAAATTTTAGAATGAGACAATCCTCTAGATACTCCTCTCCAGGCTGACGAGTAACCCAAACTGTTTCAGCAATATTACTGACAGAAAAGGCACACTCATCGGACCAAACCACATGCTGCCAATCCTCTACTCTCAAGTATTGGTATCTCTCTTGCCATGCCAGATGCTTGCTCTTAGTTGCTAAGTCAAGAAAAGGCTTGACTTGAGCAACACAGCGGTGATAGCAATGACTCGCAAATAGTTGTCTTAGTGCCCATGACCCAATACTTACTCCAGCCATATCAGCAATTTGACTCAGGGGAAGGCAGTGATTCTGAGCATTAGCAGTAGCAGTATCAATGAGTTGGGTCTGGTTCTCAGGAGGAATTGTGAGAGGGCAACCTCGGCAGATGTAGACATGCTACTTAGGTATCTTATTCCTACAAATAATACGATGAAGGGTACCCTGAGACAGATAGAAGGTTTGATGCAACTGAGTGTAACTCTAGCCAGCATAGATACGAAGTCCTCGCACTATAGAACGGACTTCAAGAGAGGGATTATGGTGGGTGGGTAGGTGTATGGGATACTAAGATTCCGCTATATTCTGTGGGGATGTGGGATGTGAGATTGGTGTAGGAAGTGGTATTGGTGGTAGAATGTACTTGGTATCGTTGTCTTCTTCCAGCAACTCGGAACTAGACTTAGATTCTACCGTTTCACTAAGACTACGATGTGATCTTTCAGAATGAAAAGAAGTCCTAATTTGACACCCTGAACTCTCCTGGCGGATTAGCACAATTCTAGCTATAATACCCTTAATTCCCCTACTTGGTCATTTACTAACTATGATTATGCTTACCATTTATATAATGGCCAGGACCTGACCTATTATGCCTTTCAATATAGTCATCAAATATTATAAACTGCTTATGATCACTAGAGCTCCCGGGAGAGGAAGCCTGAGGGCTCATGTCGGGTGGTGAAGTACTACTTGCACTCAAGGGAATAGCAGAA